TTATTAATTGTGTCACAAAAATGCGCTGTATTATATTTTCAAAAGTTATTAACTGATTAATATCATTTCACAAAAGAAATATAAAATATCATTATTGACTATAATTTTGAAATTGACCTTAAATCTAACCGAATCTGTAAGAATAGGCATGATTGCATTTGAGGTCTCTTTTGTAATATATGTTTTTCGTTTAATAATCATAATCATTATTAATAAATTTGTAAATCTGCCCTATTGTATGTTTCCAGACAACGCTGTGTGCTTTTTCCGATCATGGGTCGCCCGTTCAGAGCATGCATGGATTGTACAGCGAGGCTGTTACGAGCTAAGTACAGAGGAGACTCCGCCAATTTCTCTTTCTGCCTTATCGAGATCGATGAGTTGTAAACGTCAAAGGTAGTAGTTTAAAAATAACACAATAGCTTTCATTTTCAACATTATACTGCTATTTCATGCTACACAGTCAAATTCTAAAATATTTAATCGATAATGTATTCGTGGAAATCTCTTGTAACGTTTTATTTATATCACCTCTCCAATAATGCACCGGCTGGCATCTATTTCTTAGAACTTAACGAATGCTGTTCCCTATTTCGAATCTGTTTAGGTTTAGCATTTCGGGATGTATTTACCGCCATTTCTGCGTTCCATCAGACTATGAAAGTGAGGGGATAGCGAGTGCACCAGTGCTTGAGAACACCCTCTTTCACTATAACCTTGTCATGCGTAAATTGCTAGTCCAATTGTGTAGTAGTATTCGCTCTGGAGGGCATTATTAATTTTTAAATGTGTAAAATAATACTTAACCGTAAAATCAACACATAATTCGTTTAAAGATCATCATAATTCGTTTAAAGATTATTAGTTTAAAGAGTAATTAAAATTAATAAGAACAATTATGCTGATTTTTAAATTGTTAACAAAATTTATACGGAATGACTGTAAAAGTATGTACATAAGATTAAGATTCTATAATGTCTATATTGTATATATCGAGGGTTGAGTTGAGTTCTAAAACACAATAAGTGGCAAAAATTAAAATTATGTTTTTAACACGACGTCTTGATTCTCTTTTTTGCCCTTTCCAATGGCCTAATAAATAACATCTTAGTTCTCAGAGGGGACACTCTCTACAGGCAACTGTAGATTTTTGTTTGAAGTAGGTTTCAAGATTTCATGCGCTGTGTATCAAGGTTGGTTCGTTTGCTAATTTAAATATTACAATAAAATAAAATACAATAAAAATTTGAGTGGCGAGAACATTTTATAATCTTCCTTGCCGGAAGGCGTTAATCGACCTGAAGGGCTATTAAAACAGAAAGTGTTCGATCGTTGATCTAATTATTAAATTAGTAGCAAAAATTAATAAGATAGGCAAGTCTAATGATAATGATCGACTTGGAACGAAATGGCGTCCAAAAAACTACTAATACACAAGACGTTTGATTAAAATAACCAATTGAATTAATGGAAATCAATCAAGGATCACACAGCAATTTCCAGTAAATAAATTGCTAAAACTTATCTTGTTGCGAATATCAAATAATCTATAAGTACAGTACAGTACAGATTGTACTTGTAAAGACAAATAAAGTCAATCATATCGAAATTTGATTGCTGAAGGAAAGAACCTAAAAATTTCAATTTCAGTTAGTTTAGTTAGCCTAAATATACCATTGCAGACTTTAAATAAGTAATATAATATCCTGAACATACCGCAAATGATAATGAAAACAGCAAAAGTATGTCAGTAACAATAGATCTAAAAGCGGCATTACAAATTCCTCGTAGATGTGACTGCATTGTATAAAACAAACGTACATATATTATTAGTACAGAACAGTTCACACGTTTATCGGATAGGTACTATTCGTATCTGTCTCTGATAGGGTTAAAAAAGGTAAGGTGTGGGATAGGTACATGGCTTTACCACTAAGTATTACATTTAATTTTACATGGCATACGCACGCTGCACAGGCTTCACACTATTATATATGTATAATATACCTGCGTGATATTTCTGTATTTCGTATGATAAGTAACAAAAATCGAATATTCCTTGTTAGTGGTAACGAGTTATTCCATCTTAGTAATATTTCAGCAAAAATATTACCAAATACTTTTTATTTTAAATATCATCATTATCACCATCATTACAGCCCTTCACTAGTCCGCTGCTGTAAAAATGCCTCCGCCCAAAGGAATACCGTATTGCACGGACCTGATCCACCTACTTCCATCGTCATTCTGCATCTCTCACCATTCGTTTACCGGTACATTGTACGAGGCTGCCACTCGAGAACTTTTCTTCTCAATCAACTATCAGTTCTTCGAGCTGTATGGCCGGCCCTAAAGATATTTTAGCCTTATAAAACATCTTTGGCCGGCCCATTGCCACTTCCAGCTTACTGATCCGTTTTATTCTTTTTTTCTTGCTTTTAAATAAATTAATTATTTTATTGATTACAAGTAACTGTATTAATATTTATGGAAAAGCCACGCTCATTATGAACTTAAAAAGCCATAAAGCATGTTTTGAAAAGTATTTTCTCGACGATAAAATGAATTTGCAAATTAATTAGATTATGTACATTCGTAAAATACAATAAAATATTCAACATGGAATTTCCCGAGTCTCTTTCATTACATAATGTATTTTATCACTCTACCCTCGGTATAATACACACAAAGAAGTAAAAATGGAAGTTTCTTTGCTTGTTCCGTATGCTTTTCCAAAACATACATCCAAATATATTGAAACTTTGGTGAGTTGTTGTGCGTGTGCCCACAAAGATTTCTGACAAAGAAAGAAATATTTTATAGTTTTTTATTTATTAAATAGCGTTACCTCCACACTACGATTTTCTCCTGTAACGTGGGGGTAGTTTACATACATAAATTTCACAAGGACAAACATTTAGACCCGGAATAATTATTTATAGGCCATACAAATACTCGTTTCGTGTGGGATCTGAATCCGCAGCCCATAGCGCTACAACTCATTGCTAAGTCACCGCGCCACGGAGCTCTCATGTTTGTTCGTTCGTTTTCTTTTCGTTCCTACGTATACCAGTCGCCCGATTACGATGAAACTTTGGTGAATTAAGGTGCCGCAGGCCCCTCAATTCACTCGCTAATGTTTCTGAGAAAAACGGCGTTACATGCATGCCCAGCACAGCTAGCACCATATAAAATTCAACCAGATCCACCGATGATTAAAGTCTGCTTTCAATTCCAGATTTCCTGACGCTGAGTATAAGGTATGTTTTTGTCAAGGAGACCGATGTAATGGGAGTATCGATTTGTCCAAAACGCCTTTTATTTTTATTATTTGTGCTACATTTTTTTTTCATTTTAATTCTTTGCAATTAGTAAAGTGGCAATTGATTTGTGCTCTTCAAGTCATTCGCACAATTCGTCTGAGCTGTTTGGTTGGCCATAGACATTGACTTTATCGGTTTATAAGCAGCTTTCACTTTATCTAAGCTGCCTGTCTATTTCTACGAAAAGGACGGTAAGAAAAGTGTGTGTTAGTGGGCCGCGTCCGTTGAGTCGCATACATATTTTTTGTGGACACACAATGAAGTCAAAGCCAATATCTAAGCAGAAAAATTTGCAATTTTCCTTTCTAGTATTTCGTTTAAAGAACAAAATCCAACATAATATAATATCTCAAATGTTACATGTGATGGTAAATATTAATAATAATAATTTGTAATATTAATAAATTATTTTATTTGAACAATATAATATATTTTATTTCTACACTACCATTTTTATAAAAACATATCTTGTGTAAAATAATTGACACGAATATAATATTAAATTTTTCTAACATCAAGCTCTCAATCAAATCAATCACTATAGTCTGAAAATTTTATATTTGATATACGTGGATAATATGTAATTTGAGCTTTGCAATAAATATTACCACTAACAGTAAAATGAGACATTAGTTTTGCTAATGAAAATTAAATTCTTAAATTACTTAGAATAACTTTAATAACAATTATTGTTATAAGTACTTTACGAATTTAATTTGTTTTTATAACGATAAACATACATATTATGACGTGATACATAAATCCTTTTATATTTTATCAGTCTTAAAATTTCCAACTTCCTTTAGCTTACAATTTCCATACATATAGTTTTATTCACAGAAGAAATCTCATGATGCAAATAATAAATATTGATTTTTTAAACAATGTTAATAGTAATATAATTCAAATATACACAAAATTTTAGATCTTTTCTTTTGTCGTACATTAGCCAAATTTAGTTGAAGATTTATTAAAACACGTATGTAGAATGTAAACAGTTGAAGAATTAATTCAATAATAAATTCTTTGGGTTAAAATTAATATTAATCTTACACAGAATATCCCGAAACTCAACATCAAGCGGGTAGCGGGCGAGTGGCCATCCCATCGCTGTTCTGGTATATACTATATACTTAATAAGAAAATAAATCTATATTTCTTAGTTAAGTCATAACAAACATATTTTTTAAAATGTTAAAAATGGTCCCTGTACGTGATCATTAGGTACTAAAGTCAAAAAACTTTAGCGATAGTGATTTTTATTTGTTTATTATCGCTTAATTAAGAGTTATGGATTTTTTTCTTTATTTTTACTAAAATAATTATCGTTTGACCGGTACCCGCTTGATGATAAGTTTCGGGACCTTCTACACATGTTTATAATATCTGTAAAATTTAGATCTTTTCTTTTTTCGTTCATAAAAGTAAGAAAACTATTATGAGCCTAAAGTGAGTTTAAAGGATTTACGTTGTAGTAAAAAGATATAGAACTGAGCGATTGATATTCAGTAAATTTAAACTGTGCGGAATTTTTTCGTAAAGTTGCTCATTATACCCAAAGTTAAAATTAAATGCAAATGAGGTAACTAAAGGTTTTTTGAAGATATCGGCCTTTTGGTTTTGTAATGATTTTAATCTGCAAATTAAGTCATATATACAAGAATATACGTATTATTTTCATCTATCTTCATTTCCGTGTTTGTCCACATCTTTGTCATCGCCTTCGAAATCATTGATTTTGGCAGTCATCGCGTTATCAACAGCTTGAATTGTTAATTCCGTGATACCAGCCCTTTTGAAATTTTGCCCCTTTGAAAATACATAAACATATTTTTCTGTTGAATCATCATTAAAAGGTAATAAATCATCGAATTCAACTTGCCTCTTATTTCTCTTCTCTTTAGAATTGTAATTATTTTCATCATTGTCTACAATCCCTTTTTTGTACACTTCTATGGGCACTTTACTTCCGTCGCTAACATCGTATTTAATGCCTATATCTGCTTCTTGAATTTCTATAGAACCTAGTCCATTATCTATCAAAGTTTTTAAATCTCGAGCTCTATCTTTTCTTGTGGTGTCAACCTTTTCCAATTTTTTTGCATGTTTTTCCTTTAAGGGGTGTAAGTGCTTGACTTCGCTCGTTATTTTGTGTTTCGTTAAATCATTCAGTGAAGGGTCATTTACGCTATTTTCAGCTTTGGAACTGTATGTTTTAACTTTAGAATGACCCTGGATAATTAAGTACATAGGTACCGTGGGAACTTCTGTAGAAAATTTGGATTCTTGAGAGGAGCTTGCTTGAGTTGTAGAAGTCATTGGTGTAGTAAAACGCATATGTAAATATGGATCATGTGTATTAACGAATTTTTTTGCATGAAGCGAATTATTAAGAACGTGGGGGTTAACGTGGAAGGGTTGTCTCTCTACTTCTGTAGAACTTTTTGGAAATTTAGTAGAAGGTGGTGGCTGAATATTTTGCATTAACTCTAATTTTCTAATATCCTCAGTTGTTTGTTCTTTAAAGAACTGTATATTTTCTGAAGCATGAGCATATAAATTGTCTTCTGATCTTTCGGGGTCAGCAGCTAAAGGCATTGACATCATTGGGCCGAGCATATCAATTACCATTTGTTCTGATTTCGGCGATAATGTTGTAGTTGTTACAAATTTATTTGTTGTTTCATGTGAATGAGTAGTTGTTTCGTAAGTATTTTGAATTTCTGTAGTAGAATCGAAAGATAATTCATTTGATGGCCATGTTACTTCTGTACTACTTGTTGTCGGCTCTACAGGTGGTGAAGCAGTCGGCACAAATGCAGTAACTAATGGCTGACCGGATGTAATCAGAGGTGGTGGCGATTCAGATAAGAAGGGCTTATAAAATAAATAGGGTTCAGATATCTCTATAGTATGATCATTGAAAATCAAATTATGTGTATCATTGACAATATTGTTATCATCGAGGGGTGTTGTTGGCCCCCATCCAGCATAATCACTGGTAATTGGGCTGTTTTGTAATACCTTCGTTTGGTTAAAGTCTCTAAACCAATTTTGACTAGTTGTAGAGGCTTGATAAATCAAATTAGCTTCCTGTACTGCAAATGACGATAAGTGCTCTGGAGTTACAGTAGTAGCTCTATTAAATGGTATTGGTACGTCAGCTTGCTTAGGTAAAGAAAATGGAACGGGTATCTTTTCTTCAGGCATAATAAAAAGTGATGGTTGATGTCCCGGAGGTGGTGGCGGTGGTGGCACAAGAATTGTCATTGGATAATATTCACTGTACCTGTACGTATAATCTTCGTATTTAGGAGAATGTGGTGGAGGAGGAGGAGGAGGAGGAGGTCGATGTTGTCGTTTCGGTGGTAATTGTGGCGTTCGGGGAGCCACACTTGGTTTTCGTGAAGATACTCCTAGCATTAAAACTTCAGATTTTCTCTCAGGATAACGTTCACGTTCCAGACGTGATTCATCAGCCCAGTAATGAACCCGTTCTAAAACTGGGGGTTCGTAGTCGTAAGTTGGATCGTTCCGTAGTGGATCACCGCGTCCTGTTAGAGGTTTCCACTGTTCAAAATCCATTCGAGGAGAGAAATTTGAAGAACCAAATTCGCTGAGACTTGTTCCGCCTATTCCATCTGAAAAATAAGATAAAGAATGAATAAGCAGTTTATTGAATTTTGCTCTTAAGGAAACGTTAAACAATGTTATTTAAGTTATAATAAATAACATACGGGATATGTTGGCAACATGTTGTAAAGTGGCTATGGGACTAGGCTCCGAACTCACTACTCCCAGCATCCAGACGAAGACTATGTAAGCCCCGTGCACCCCGCAGTTATCCTGTAAACAAATTGTTTTTAATGACTGTATCTGTTATAAATTCTGTAACTTGTTTTACTTCGAACTGTTTCCGTAAGTAAGAACAATATGCCAAAATCTTAAGAATGTAACACCTATTTAAATTGAGAATTGATAATAGCTTACATTTTAATTTAAAAAAAAAATGAAAAAGTTTCCACATTGTGCCATTTCAAAAGGAATCATATATTAAAAAATTCGTAGCTTTTGTCGTCGTTGTTAATAGTCGTTTTAATCATAACATTAAAGGTGATGAAAAAAAGACTTTTTAAATGCAACTTGAGTGCATGAAATTTGTTCTCGACGGAGCGGTGGATTTTGTGCAATTAGTGCGGTCCAAATCGGCACCGGTGGTGAGTTGTCAGCAATTTTTTGGCACGCAATGCGCTCGTTAAAATACCAGGCGGCATGGCAGGATGAAAGACGAGCTAATTTAATATTATAACCATCCTCTTATTTCCGTATACAAAATACAATAACCTCGTTTGCCCGTTATGGAAAATGTAGAACTTAATGACTAAAAAATCTGCGTTAACGAGCAAAAGACTGTTAAACATTATTTAATTCACTGTGTCTTGCGATTTATTTTCCAGAAATCTTTACGTAATTAATTCTGCTTTATTTCGCTTTTTTTACTAAAACAAAGGGAATACTATTTTTTTACCAATGTAAAAAAAACGGGAAGAATATGCGACTAGCATGTTTATTTTTATGTATGCTCACTGATTTCTTTAAACACCTGAACCAATTTAAATGGTTGTGAATGGAAAAATAGGCGATAAAGACTAATGTAACTATTTAAACGACATTGTAGTTGTGTTACCTTTTGAAGTCGGTTTGTTCTTTTTAATAAAAGTTAAATTATAGTATCTATATTTTTAAATCGTAAGATAAAAGTTATCCAACAAATAAATTATAAGCCGACTGATTATAAAAGTGAAATTATTTTGTTTATACAATTGTAATTTTCAATTTTTTAATATTGTATTTTTTTATATATCTTCTGAATAAAGTTTATTTGAATATTGAAGAATCATATCTTAGAAAAATGTTATTTTTACAAAATAGTATCCATATTTGCCTTTTTTGTTGTCTTATTTTATAAACTATTTACTTTATATATTTACTTTCATTTTTAATTATAAAAAATCCGTACGTAATAGTGCGTGATAATGTTTAAGAGCCTACATTTGAGCATCAGGATATACAGTGCAGTGAAAGCAATGCGTGCTACGAATTACAACACAGGCTTTACCTGACAGGAATAGTGCGGTAGCACTTTGCATTAAATTTACCCTATTTATGTCGTCCTTTCACTGTTATATCATCGGCTGGGTTTTGTATGAAACTATTCAAATAGAGTTCAGATCAATCTTATTGTGAAATCAACAATGTTTTGAATACTTTGAAATTTCTTACGTGAAGGAAATGAAGAAACCCAAAAATATTGAATATACAAGTATTATGAAATTGTTGTAACGTTTTAAAACTTATGAGTGGAATTTAATTAAAAAGCAAGGAAAGAAAAACGGGAAATACTCTAATATTTCTTAGTTTTTTCGTTTTACGATTTTCCTCATTATTTTAGTCAAATGTATAATGTTTCATTCAGAAAACATTACAACCTACTCTGAAGCTTAAGAAAACGTAGGTTAATTGATGGTAATATTTTACTGAGACTCAAATTTATTTTCAAAGACTGGACTGTAAAAAATCGATACAAAATTTAATGCCTACTTTTACTAAAAAGGGGAAGTTAAGAACAAAATATTCATTAATTGCTAGCTTTTGTTCGTCTTGATAAGATTAAAGGCACACATGTGTTCATTAAAAGTGATTTTCTCTGAAAAATGCCAAGCACATTCGATTCTTATAAGTAAGCATCACAATAAATTAGTGTAATAATGACCTTACACCATATCAGCGTGACTACCTAAATAAATTAAATAAACCTCAATAATTAATTAAGTAATAAAACTTAAAACGACGTGTCGGGAATGTTGAGTCTGATTTTAGTTAATATCTTAATAACATTCCAAAATTGTTTTAAAATAAAAGATATCTTAGCTCGTAGTCCACCTGATGTTAAATGGCTAATTAAGTCTATGGACGGCTACAGCTACAGTACATTTCAAACACGGAAAGCTACAGATGTGTTGTCACCTCACCGGACAAAGATGAAATGCCTTACAGCCAGTAATGATTAAGTACCAAAACAACTAACCAGTGAATTAATATATTTGTCTATACATATATATATATATATGTATATATATATACATATATATATATATATATATATATATATATATATATATATATATATATACAGATATACAAACAAAGAAGGCACATACAGTTACCTATAAGGCCTAAGACGGAATGCTTTTTTTATGGGATAAGGGTGACAAACGAGCACACAATTCAGCTAATGGTAAGTGAATGCTGAGGCCCATAGACCTCTACATTTATCCTCGGTTAAGAATAGAAATGCAGACGCGTTGTCACTCCTGAGAACTAAGATGGAACGCCTCGTTTACTCTACATTAACCACACGAAACACAGCAGCATTTTACGCTTGTATTTTATGAGTGCGTGGTCCTTCCCGGTCGAGCCGACCAATTCGTGTTACACCTATAATAAAGCTGTAGCATACCACGTAAAAATAGATATAAATAATAGTTTAGTCCAATAGTATAATAAAACTTATCTGCAAAATATATGTAATATCGTGCTAGCATTAGCAAAATAGACCACTAAGTACAGTTTCAGCGGTACAAATTTAAATTTAAAATAAAAAGTCAAAAAAATCAAATAGAAGTTTTTACAAATTACGATGAAGGATAGTACAATAGGATGGTACATGCATAATATTAATACTGTGTGTAACAAGAAGTAATTCATATCATTAATCACATAAAATATAATGGAAAATCGTTTAATAGAGTGACGACCTGATATGAGAAATGAAGAAACGTAGCATATAGTGACATTTTCAAAATAAAATCCAAGAGAACCTTTCATTATAATTCTTTGCAACATCAGGCTGTTGAAACACAAAAAGTTCTTGCCGTGGTAATGTCTAATAATGTCAAGTAGGATAATTTTGTACTGGTAATAGTAAAATGAATCAATTCGCTATTTTTTTAATACTTAGAATAAAGGTGATAGAAGAGCATATAGTTCACCCGAACACCTGATGGTAAGTAGATGTTGTGGCCCAAAGATCTACATGCGAATAGATCAGCATAGAATTAAAAAATGCGGATGCGTTGTCATCCCTGAGGACTAAAATGAAATGCCTCGTTATCAGTAGCAAGAGTCTCCGGTTCTTTACACTTTACACGAAGCACAGCAGCATTATTCTACCGTGTCACGCTAGTGTTCTGTGAGAAGTCCAACCCCATTCGTGCTGCAGCTATGTATAGCTAGTATAGCTAGAATATTTATACATAGCTACATATATATGGCTCTAGCGCGTGAATAGTGAAAGTAAAAACGAATTATATATAATCAGGAAGGTATTTTCCCAAAATTATTAAAAAATACTTTTCTAGAGTTCATGTTTTTTCAATTATAATATTATAATAATAATACTTTATTTCACCACTTGTATAACTATCACATTTATAAACAACTATTCTATGATCTATACTTAGTTCACAAAGAATGATGAAACATCTGTGTACACCTGTGTCCTGTGTGTGAACTAGACAAATATTTATCTGTATTTTAGATCACTCACATCAATATGGACTTACTGAGAAGTTTAATCTTTATTATAATACTAGCCGCAGTCGCATGCACCCGGCAAAAACCGAGCGGTCGCATGCGAGTCCACTGCTGAACATAGGCCTCCCCCAAGTAATGCCACAAAGCACGGTCCTGAGCCACCTGCATCCATCGACTTCTGAAGGATCTCCTAGGTGTGCGTTGTTTGCAGTTAGCAGTGGCTGTAAATGACCGCCGGTACGACATACTCCGCCGAACGTTGAGTCCCGTGATTCCGTGAGGCGTCGAGGTCACCGGCCCCTAGGTGATTCTAGGGCACTTTATGCGCTCCGAGCATCCTGTGCCTAGTCGCGTCATAAAGTGCCACCGTCGCACTTCCCCCAACTCTTTTGTTGACAAAAGGGGTAGGCAGTGCCCAGTGTGATTACGCTAACACGTTTTTATACCTTGCTATCCGCGTCGCGCTTCGTGCCGAATCGGCTGGCATTTATTAGACAGGGCCTTATAGATTACCTGACTGACTTAGGTAGGTTTTCAATATGTCCGATAAGGACAAGGGGGAGAGCCTCCACCTAAACCCAAACCCAGAACACCACCCGACCGTCCTGGTGTACTAGACCGTCCTATCGCGTATCGCGACATCTTCGATCCTGAAAGGACTAGAGTAGTGTCCTCCTACTCTCAGATCCCGACAAGGAAACCCTCCTCACCGGGTAAAGAGCCCGCACCGAGGACCGCGCTCTCACCCATCGTACCTGGAGGTACGACTGGGCGGGAACCGTTCCCCCAACCCCAGCGGGCCAAGAAGACCCAGAGAAGGCACACGCCTCCAGAAACAGCAGCATCCCTCCAGGAGAAGAGGCGATGCTACAGTACTACCAACTCCTCGGATTACTCGTCATCCGAGGGAGAATCGGACCACCAACCTGAAAAGCCGATTAGGAGATCACCACCTAAATCGCCATCGCCGATTAAACCCCCCCCCCCCAGAACACCGGAACAACACATCAGTATGGATGCTGCTGATCTGGAGCAGGGAGGGGAAGGATCATACGGATGGAGTGCTACCACGTATGCGACCCTAGCGCCGAGTACGTCTGCCGGACACTCACCGTCCGCGCCCACCACCAACCCGTCGGGCCGGCCATCAGACGATGGTCAGAGGCCTTCGACCAGCTATGCCCAACTGGTAGCTGCCCCGGCAGTACCAAGGACCAAGACAGCCGTAACACCAAAGCCGCCGGAATAAT